TGCGGCGTTTTGGGGTTCCTGCCAATTGCCCGACTTGGCGGCTGCCGTCCTGCGTTCGCTGCAGGCGCCCAACACCATGCCGGTCCGATGTTCTGCCCTCTTTCTTGTGCGGGCCCAACTTGCAGAGGCCGGGTTTGCTGCGCCCTCGTGGGAGGCACTCCTGCAGCCCGGCGCCAACCCCCCACGGTTTGAAGTCCCCAGCCGCTGATACTGCTAGGCAAGGTCCTTGCCCAGTTTGTTTTCGCAAACTGGGCCTTGCAGCAGCCGAGTCTTCACCAGCGTGCCGAGCTGCCAAGAGATTTCCTACTTCTGTGCGCTGTTCTGCGTGCTTCTGTTGCGGTGCCTGCGCCTGCCTTTGCCCTTGCCCGCAGCTGCCGATGCGATCGCAGGAAGCCGGCAGTCTTGGAGCTCCATCGCCCACCGACCCCAGCACAAGGACGACCAAGCGGCACCGGGAGGACCGGTGGAGCTGGGGACTTCGATGCGTCTGTCGTCCAGGCGGTCGACAGGAGCATTCAAGTCGCGCACAAGGCTGTTGGTTGTGACGCGTGCGCCGGCCTCGCGGCAAATCCGTGCAGCGGCACGCTCAAGAGGGCAGCCGCGACTGCGCAAGGCACCTGACCGGGGGAAGGCTGCACGATGGTCGCCAAGAAGGGTCGAGAGGGCGGCAGACACCCCTGCACTGTCCCGGTGCTTGATGTGCTTGCCAGCCGGCTTTCAGCCCGCCTCGTGTGAGTGGGGTGGCCCTCTTTACCAGCCTTGTGAGATGCCCTTGGAGCCTACCCATTTGCCATTGAACACCTGGCTGCCTTTTGTTTAGAATATGCGAGAATGCATTCTTGTCCCAAAGTTTCCTAATTCGGCCTTGCGCGCTTGTTGCCCAGAAGCCTGCCACCTCTTTCGAGCGAGCCGGAATCTTGCCAAACTGCGCAGATGGATTGAGGTTGCTAAGAAGCATATGGTCAAGCGTAGTTGTTTGCGTGCTGCTAGTTTCAGCACAGACCACTAAAAGTCGAGAGTCCTTCTCCGATGGGCAGAGCTTGTTCTTCGCGCGCCGGTGAGTGAGACAAAGAGCTCAGCGGAGTCAAATAAGTGCTTTGTCACTATTGCAGACGCCTCGAGGTCCAAGGCAACGAGCACTCTCAAAACACGTGCTTCGTTTTTGGTGTTGTACTTCAGTTGGCGCGACGCCAATCTGAGCGACACGGACTTCCTCCCTTTCCGTGAGCCTCAGTTGTATGCGCAAGAGGTTGTTGGTATGGAAGGCGCTACAGAATGCGTTGTTTCAGCAAGATGTCGCGGCGCAGCTCTGAAGATGTACCTAGGCAAGCGGCCTGCTAACAACGGACATGCTGGGTGATTTGGAGCTTGCGTGTTTCATGGAGTGTGGCACCTATCTGCGAGCCCTGGCCGGATTCTGTCTTGTTTGTGCCTATGCAAATTCTGTCTCGTTTGTGCCAATCGTCAGTCTTGGGGAACTTTGCAGAGGTCACTCATGAGAGTCAAGACTGCAAGGAGCAAGGAGAAGCAACGCTCATTTTTACCAGTTGTTATACCTGGCACTGGAATATTAGGCACATTGGTTTGAATCGTCCAGACACGCAAAATGCTGGGGCTCAACGGGATTCCGAAAGCCTCAAACAGAAGCTTTGGATTGTTGCCCTCCAGAGCTACGGTGCATCTGGACCTGTACGACAAAGTGTCAAGCACCGAAGTCACCGAATGTTTGCATTGTTTTCTGGGTAGGTTCTTCAACAAATCTGCAATAGATGGGGTCAGGAGCCATTCATTAAAGGTCACAAACCTCACCTTCGTGAGTGTGCATGGTTGTGACTACACCTATTCGGAAAATCTGGGGTATCAATTGACCCAACATGTGAGAATAAATTATCCGCGCAAAGCACTTGCTGCTCCTATTCGGCACATGATGGTTGTTCTCAACAAAATTCAGGAGGGCTCGTTTCTGCCTAGTGCGCCCATGGGCGATGAATTTCTGCAGGGGCCAGACCTCATCCCTGCACTAAACCAAATGCAGTCCAATTTAAGTATGAATCTTCGTGCGATTGCCGAGTTGTTTCTTGGTTGTGACTTAGACAAGGTCCTCTCATCCTCCGATGAGGCAGAGTTTCAAGCGATGTGGGAACTCTTGTGTCAGGAAAGCCGTGATATTGATCTGGTGATAGAGCCAGGTGTGCAAAACCTTTTCGGGGCTGAGGAAAACCATGAGCGAATCGGCAGAGCATGCCATGGCTGATGTTGCACACGCAAATGAAGGCTACGGCAATTGCCGCAACGTCTCTCCCAACGCTGCAGTTGGTTTGGTTCACAGACACTCCAGGACGAAAGTCTTCATTTCGAGCATATTGAGGATAGCAACAAAACTGCCTGTGGCCGAATGTTGGGCTTCTCATACGTCAGGTTCCATGGCGACCCTGGCAAAGCCTGGCCCAATGTAAATGTGTAACGGTTAAGCCACTCATGATTTCACCATGTTGATGTGATCGCTGCTGCATGTTTAAAATGTACGAGGCGTGGGGTCTCGCATCATTCATGTTGATTGGTCTGTGAAAGCTGCGGAACACCTTGTGCTTTATAACGGTATGGCTGACCAGGCCAATTTGCGCATGCGTGTCCTGTGCAGGACTCAACGCCTGCACAATGTTGATTCCGAGTGTCCTGAGTATGTGCTCAGCTAGTTGATGTATGAAGAATGTCCGCAAACCGCAGCAGCAGGCTCGTTCTAGAAAAAAGTCGGCCATGGCCATGTTGGATTCGGCAGCAGAGTTTGAGGCGCGAGCCACTGAAGTTGGAATCTTGGACGCTGAGCTGACAAAGCTGAAAGCAATGCGCTTCCACACCTTTAAAAGGCTGGCCTTTGCCAGCAACTATGTTCCTGGGCAGTCAGATGATGGCCCATTAAAAGTCTTGGCGGTGGTCCCAAACACTCATGGTCCCAAACGGTGGTCCCAAACGCCACCCATGGCCCACACAGCTTCAAACGGTGCCAAGCAGCTGGCAAACACTCACGGTCCCAAACGGTGGCCAAACGGTCGGTCCCAACCCAAACAGTGTTCCCAAACACGCGTGGTTGTCCCAAACATTCATGGTGCCAAACGATGGTCCAAACGGTGTCCCAAACGGTGGTCCCACAAGCAAGATCACTGGCGAGGGCCCCGCGCCTGATGACCGTTTGCTGGTCATCAGACGGTCATCAGACGGTCATCAGGCGCTTGGTGTTCGAAGCTTACACCCTGGCGGCTGCGGACATGCGCACACAGCTCGAGCGAAAGGACGGTGATGCGCCTCGATGCTGCGCCGAGCGGACCTCCCGCTACACCGAGCAGCGCAAGCGGCTTTGGAGCTGACGGGGGAGCTAGAACCCTCCCGCCGCCTCATAGATATTGTCTTTCAAATGGCTGAGGAGGGGCAACTCCGCACAAGGAGGCCAAGGTGGCAGAGGTTCTCAAAGCTGATTACAACACGGACCTCAATCTCAAGTTCGCGTTGCAGCGAAGGAGTTTGGCGTTTGACCAAGCCCGATTGGTTGACTATGAAGAGTTTCAGAAGTGGAGCCAGATCCCTCTGGAGGCCTAACGTTGAGCAGGGTGCTGATTTGGAGTTGTTCAAGTTCATGATGCGCGAGACCAGATCCGGCATCAAGGCTGTGAATGGAGTTCAACCCCTGGATAAGGCCTTGAAGACAGCGATTCAAGCTCCGGCTGTTCGCCTAGGTCTCCAGCCTTTACAGGGCAAGAGGCGCAATGACAGCCACGAGGGTGAGCCCGACAGGCTGAAAACAATCATTAAAAACTTGCAAGGCCAGATTCGCAACCTCAAGGCACAGAGTTCCAACTAAGAAGGGTCGAGGCAAGGGCAAGGGGAAGATGAACTTTATCCGTCTTCCGTCCAGCTTCAGCTTGATTGGTCTTTCTCCCACGAACCGTGCTGCTATGACTTCAACTTGCCAAAGGGCTGCAAGGCGGCACGGCCGGGGGAGCGCTGTGAGAAGCGGTGGCACCTGTGCATGGAGCACGCTGAGAACAAGCCTCTTGATGAGGACCTGAGCCCCACAGCTCGTGGTCTGCAGAGAATGGCAGCTGACGCCGGAACTGAGGAAGACGCGCCCCATAGATTGCGGGGAAGATGTTCGCACCCTTATCCTGCGGCACTGGTCCACAGGGTTCTTGTCAGTGTATCTCTGATGACAGAAAGCGCGCCGAGGTTTGGGAAGCAGGGTTTCCTTCAATGAGATCTTCTGCCGCATCTTGACCAAGAAGAAGCAGCTCCACCGATGCAGAGCAGGCCACCAAAGAAGCAGAAAGAAGACTGGGAAGCCAGATGACCAATCCCTTGAGTCTTCGCCCAAAAATGAGACTATCAATGGCGATGCAATCCGAAAGTTCCATCACACGCAAACGTTCACTGAGAACCATGAGATATACTCACCAAAAAGCCGACCTTGTGCTTGACGAGGCACACTGGTTTCTCTCATGACAGCCGGCCAGTTCGAGCTCTTCATCATTGTCTTCATCTTCGGGATTGTTCAAAGTTACTGGTGGTGATGGCGCCGCGACAGTCGGTAGAATTGGACTGATCCTAAATCTTGGTCACTCGAACCGGATAGGTAGGCTCTGGATGGCCAGCAACGCTTGTCCGGTTTCTCTGCAACGGCTGCGAACGTTTTGGATTTGATTGACTTTACCCTGTCCGCCTTTTCCATCTTATCTCATAAGATGGAGAACCTTTGTGTCCATCGAAAGGATACTGGAAGTTCTATTTGCCTTTCTGTCCTTTCTTGCCTTTGCTTTACCGCAACATTGTTTCTCAGGAGAAGTGGGATGCTCGGTCGCTTCACGGTCTTGTTTTGGTTTGTGCCTGCTCATGCCCGGACTCGGTTCAGATCTGGCCCGAGGCGCAGGCTAGCATTGCGGATGAAACACGCCTGAGCCTCTCGATGATAGATATGATGTTACTCTTTATCATGAGTCGTTGTTCTATACCTGGTCGCCAGGGCGACCGAAAACCGGGCCTGAGCCATGAGTAGATCAAAGCACAAGCGCGATGACGTGCCCAGTCAATGAGGCAAGGACTGGTCCCTCCATTGGGCCCCTATCCCAACATGCTGTTCACGGTTTATGCCCCTGCAAGAACAGCTTGGGTGGAAAGAACGGGGCTTCTTGGATTTGTCAAACATTCATTGGACTGGAAGTACAAGCAAAGCGCAAAGTCCAGCCGGCGGTCAGATGTTGGGGCACTCCAGGAAAGAGGCGGGCAAACTTGGTTTGAACAAAAAGCCTTGACTTAAACCTTGCGTGATTGATAAACCGCAAAGTTCAATCACCACTTCAGGGTCGTTCAAGCTGTGGGTGATTGATGGAGAAACCTTCTAATTCAGAGGCCAACAGTACTGCAAAAAGAAGGGCGCTTCATTGGCTTGTCAGGCCTCAAACAGCCGACGAAGCATTGGAGAGGCCACTCCCCGACAACCTGAGCCGCATTCTGTGCGAGGTGGCGGATGCTGGCCCAGGCAACGACACCTATCAGTGCCTCGACATGCCTTACCAGAGGTTGGCGCACAAAAAGACCACTGTTGTGATTGTGTGAACATGCCCTGTTCGAATGGGAACAAAATGCCGGTCAGACACACCAAGCGAAAGGGGAAATTGGAAGAGTTTGACTTTCAAAAAACATTTGAACATGACATCTCAAGGGTTGTTAAATAATAGCACTCGTTCCCGTTTTTTGAGCACGATGAACCGCGCCCCCATTTTTACAGGAGCCAGAAGGTGGTTGAGGAAAAATCCAAAAGCCGCTGGGGCCTCCTTTGAAAAAGCGGAATCCAACACGTTGGGTTGGCCCCAGGCGTCCGTGGAAAGCAAGAGCCGTTTGAACAAGTCCCTTTTTAATGGCAAGTCCCAAGGGTGTCCAAACTGGGCCCATTGAATGGGAATGACCAGGAGGCTGCTCGAACAAGCCCCTGCGAAAGGCAAATAGAAGATGCGAATGAACCAAGGTGTTTTGCTTTGAACAGACTTCACTCAAACTTCAAACAGAGATCAACCAAACAAGCAGTTTGCCGTGTACTGCAACCCCTGAGGAGGAGGATACTTGCGCGCTGCTTGAGCGTTATGCAAACGTTGAAGGGGCTCTTCCGAGGCGTGCCAGCGAGTGTTGCGACATGCTCGCAACTGCACATTTACATAAAAGCCGCGACACATGCCATTTACTTGTTACTTCTCCGGTGGGAAACCTTTCAACAGACATGCGCTAGAGAGAAAGCAAGGTTCAGGGAAGCTTATCTGTGGGGCAAGGAGCGGTTGCTCAAGGTGTCTGTGGCGGGGGGTGGGGGGCTGTTTAGACGGTGATAAAATGCCTTCTTTCGATTCCGCTCGAATCATCCTGCAGACACGGTAGGAAACAGTTGGCAAAGTGCAGGCGGGAGCACACATCTTTGATCACACGGCATGATGAAGAACTTGTTTTGTGTTTTGGCATCACCCATTGCAAAGCCAATTTCGGATATCACAGGCCTATTCACACTTCGCATCACTTTGCCTTTACTTCCACAGGAGCAGCCCAGAATCTCCAGGCGCAAACAAGCGCACGATGGGAACAACACCCACAAGCAAAGCGCCCTAATTCACTGCCTTTTACACAAACCTCGTACACTTGAGTTGTCGTCATTTCACTTGCTTTCGCCTTGTTGGTTTAGTTGTTTGTTGGTCTGCGTCTGAGGGGTGAGGGGATGGTGGTTGTGGTTGCTGATCAGTGCGCTGCAGTTTGTGCGCGTACTTGTTGCCACGGTCTGCCAGTCGCCACTTTGCGACAAAGGCCCCCAAGCCCTGCACGGTCCGCTTTCCTGCCAAGACTTCAGGTTCGGGTTAAAGGTTTTAAAATGTTTCAAGTTTCGGGTTTATTTTGTCAAGCTATAGCCAGCCCGAAGGCTTTAAAATTTGACTAGTCATTTTTGGGGGGGGTTGGGATTCCTTTGGCGTCCTTTTGCTTCGAGCACGGAGGCTCACACTTGCTTGCAAGTTCCACGGCCGACCACTTGCAGGCGCACACGCGGGGCCTCCTCAAACACATTGCGGAGCTCGAGAAATTTGATGCGAAGCACCCGGCGAAGCCAAAGGCGGAACGGCAGTTGGAAACCGACTCTTTGTAGACAATTTGTGTCCTCACCCCTTCTGCAGGATGAAACATTTACCGACCAGAAATAGACAACACAGTTCATTTGGAGGGGCCTTGCAATTGCCATGCCCAGCTTTCTGCTCCCTTTCCTCTCGTAAGGTCAGCCTCGCTATTTTAGGCTTTTAATGATATGCCTATGGCTGGATGCGTGGTTTGTGGCTCATGTGAGATTTCGGACTGGGCAATGAGAGCAAATCCAAGATGGCCGGCAGTGCAACACTGCACCTTATTCAGCGTCAAGAGTCCTTTGCTTTTGACCTTCAAGTCCAAGCTTACGGATTTGTGACGTGCAGTACTTCCTGACATGTCCGCATGGCGTACCCCAACAACTCCTGAATAAGTCATTCATTCAATGGAGCGGGAGGCTTGACCCACCCAACGCTGATTCAGTTCGTCCTGCGAGAGCGACGTTTGGGGGACCCCGGCCCCGCGAAAACGCAGGCAGAGGCAGACTTGACGGATGAGGAGCTACGTTTGGGGTTGGGCAAAGCTTGCGGCGGTTTGCCTTTCAGCTAAAAGGCTGTTCTTGTTGGCACTAGCATTCGAAGAACCTGCGTATTTGTTAGCATCCATTCCAAGCAAAACAAGAGGCTCCCACTGCTTCCCAGCTTGAGGCCGGGGATCAGCTCGCTTGGGAGGAGAGGAAGGAGATCATGCGCCAGTACCGGGTGAGGTCGATGTATGTCTGCCTCACAGCCCACCTACAACTCGCTCGAAAGCTGCGCTGGCACAAGGCGCGGCTTGAAATTCAGATCGGATTCGACAAGGATGCGACTGCCCCTTGCGGGCCCTGAGGTCATGTTGGGATCCTGCCTTGGGTGTGTTTTTTTGGTCTAGAGTCTAAAGCGAGCACCGGCTATTTGATGTTCACCACTTTGTGATGAAGCGGCGAACGCCCGCAGTCATAGACTGCCTTGGTTTGCACTCCTTCCGGTTGTTGTACAGTTCTTGAATGGAACACAATGTGGACACCAATCAGTTCTGGGGGTTCGGGATTTTGTGACAATCCCATGTGGCATTGGCGCAAGGTCAGCGAACCACAGGTGCGGGCTTTCTTGGAATCTTTCAAAGTCTTGCTTGGGGGTTATGAAGTTGGTGAACTCACTTTCAGTGCCTCTGAACGTTTCAATTTGCGCTTGAGATGCTTTCGGCAGTTCAAGCTGGCGATGCAGAGAAAGCGGAGAGGAAAGCGCTGCGGAGGCCGAACAAAGGTGTTGCCCAAAATGCGCTGGAAAAAAAGGGGCACCAAGAGCAACCCCTCCTGCACAGAGTTAGGCACGGTATGGCACCGTCACCGTTCTCTTCTGAACAAACCATGGTTGCAGCAAATGTGGTTCTAGAGACACTTTTTGTGATATGAAGAGGCTCCTCGAAAGTGACAGAGAAGTCATAGGGTGGAATCTGCAAACTCCCACTTGGGTATAACAAAATGCGTTTGTTTTCCGAATGGAACCTGTTCCGAGCGCTCCGGTGCCCACATGGACTGAAAAGAAATGTCTTTTGCATCAAGAGCAAGGCCGGGCGCGCCCTTGGCGAAAGATGGCCCAGATTCTGCATGCCCATATGGCCCACTAGATTCCAGCAATTCCAACTTGCGTCGAACACCGCCCCAATTTGTTTTTGGACAGAAGTGCTCATTGTCAATTATTTTTTGAACGTCCACCAAAGGTTCAGCGACTGCAATTCGCTGGTTATCATTGCATAGGGCCCGTTAAGAGATTTATTGGATTTCCGTTTGCTCGTTCTCAAGGGAACCTGAAGCATTGCCTCACATCCAGCGAGGGATTTTTTGTCTCGCTTACGGGGGCTCAATGTTCGCCAGGGCTGCGAGCACGGCTTGAAGTGGAAGAGCAGCAGCCGCTGTGGGAAGTGCAAGGGTATCTGCAAGGTGTGCAACGGTGTGCACGGCACTGCCAAGCAGAATTGCGTCCAGTGCAATCAGTGCCCGCACGGCCATCGCAGGGGCATGTGCAAGCTGTGCAACCCAGTTGTCCAATAGAAACAGTTTTCCCTTGCTGTTGGTTTTTTGGTGGTTTTGCTTGGGGAATCCCAACCCGCGTAAAAAGGGTGCCCTTCTTTTCCCATGGCTGAGGCAATGGCAAAGACCGCTGCGCGATATGCAGGCCATGCGCCCATGGCAAGCTGAAGGCAGGCTGCAAGAAGTGCAGCGGGCGCAAACATGGCAAGCTAAGACAGAAGTGCAAAGTCTGCAAGGCCGCGCAGAAAAGGCAAGACCGTCGAGAGAGCAAAGGAGAGCCGGAGGAGGCACAACTTGTACCTCCAAATCGAGGCCGAGACCAAGAGAAGTAGAAGCAAAGAGGAATTGCCGTCGAGTCCTAGCCTTCCGAGCGAACACAAAGGAAAGCGACACGCTGCAAAACAAAGCAGTCAACTGGGCTGAAAAAAATACCCCGCGCCTTTCGTTATGTAAGGGGCCGTCCCTTAACTTGTTTCGCAGGCCAAAACCATTGTAAACCGATACAGAGGAAGAAAAACCGATACCCCCAGAAGCCATGAAGACACACATCAGGTCCAAGTTGTCGTCGCAAGCCAAGATCACGGAATCATAAAGTTGCAGGGCCCAAACCGATACCCAAACCGATACCCAACCGATACCCAACTCAGTGGCCGCCACGCCGAATCCAACCAGCTGCCCTGCAGCCTTCCCTGGAGCTGCCAAAATGCACTTTGTGTACCACATTTGTACTGAAAAACTTACTTGCACTGAAGCTGCGATTTTCGAGCCGGAGCTGCCAAAGTCTACTGTGCATACTACTGAAAAGTTGCGACTTTCCAGCTGGAGCTGCCAAAATGTACTTTGCGTACTACACTTGTACTGAAAAGTTGCAACTTTCCAGCTGGAGCTGGGAGCTGGCAGAGTGTACTTCGCAGACGTACGGAAAAGTCACGACTTTCGAGCTAGGGCTGCCAAAACACTGCAAACCGATGCAGAGGAAAAAGTCGATACTGACCGATACTAGGGCATAAGGATACAAGGGTTGTCCACGGGGTTGTTTTTTCAACCCAACTGAAAACAAATCAGTCACCTGTAAATAAAGCCGATAACTTAAACGAAGAAGCCGACTTAAAACAAAGCAGTCAAGTGTAAACACAGCTGTTAACTTAATAGAAGCAGTACTAGGAGTGCACTGCTTGGAGATGGTTGCACACACGCATGCGATTGCGATGGATGTGCCGTGGGTGCAACCCCTGCAACGGCAGACTACAGGGCCGTTGCCCCGAGTGCAAACACGCAGAAGGCCTTGAGAGGACGCAGCCGTCCAAGGGCAAGACTACGAAGGATGGCCAGCAGCCAAAGGCCAAAGCCAAAGCCGCCGCCAAGCGGATGCCGGCCAAAAGGAAGGCCGACAGGAGCAGTGCTAAAAAGGCAGTTGGCAAGAGGCCGGCCAGCAACATCAGTGGCAAAAGGGACTTGCCAAGACGCCCCCACGCAAGGGTGCTTGCGGCAAGCCTGCAAAGAGGAGAGCCATGCGGAAGAGTGATCAAAAGACGCCTGCCTGGTCTGCCTGGTCCGCAGCTGGTGAAGCTGTAATTCTAGACTTGTCGCCTGACGCGGAGCCTGGCGAGAAGGCTGGCAAGAAGGCAGCCACAATGGCTCAGATTGGCAAATTTGAGGCAGGCCAGGCAGGCAAGCAAACGATAGCAGACAAGGACTCAGGCGAGGAAACAGTTGGCAAAGAGAGAAGGAAGTTGGTTAGACGATGCCGCTCATGGAGGCTGTCGAGACGGCTGTCATTCTGTCTACGGAGGCTCTGCTGACAAATAGGCGCAGTCAATGGGGCCATGAATCAACTTGCGGCAAGCTCTCGTCCGAACGCTTCTCCACGAACAACAGCGCAGGGGCATGCAGTGCCAGCGAATCAACAGCTGGTGCATGTGATGTGCTTGTGCATGTGCATCTTCAATCCTAGGCCAATCCAGCGTAGCGCGATTCAATCCTCACAGTCGTGCAAGGCTACGCTGGAGCTCTTTCAAAAAGTGTCAAACATGAGTCGGACAGAGTTCAATTGTTGCAGCACCCTGAGCTAGACAAACACCCGGGGCCCGGGGCTTCCTGTTTGAAGGAAACCACGGACCCCGGGTTGAAGTCCATCTTGGGCCAGTCAAGAGTAGAACCCTAGAGCAGCCTTTGCAGAAGGGTTCAATAGGTTGTTTCCCCCACATTGATTCCAAAGTCGCTTTACCCAATTTGTTTGACCAGCCTGTAACCAAACCTTTTCAAGAAACTGACTGAAGCGAAACGAACACTTCCTACCCCGGCCCTTGGTTGATCTCAGCGAATGTCGGGTGACAGTCTTGGCTGCTAGCCATGTGGCTGTTGGAGATGCATTGGCTCAGGGTCCGGGCGTGCCATTGCAGCGATGGCGATGCGGTCTTTGATTCGATTTCCTTGGCAGAGAGGCCGCCAATTGGCCAGGCAAGCTGTTCAGTTCTCGACGTCAGGGGATGCCAAGTCAGGTGATCCATCCACCCGGCAGTTGCGGATCCATGCCTTGCAAAATGCAGTTCCCATGATTGGTTTCGGAATTGTGGACTGTGTGGTTATGACGCAAGTTGGTTCCACCATGGACACCGTTCTGGGCGCCAGTTTGGGGATTTCATCCATCACTGCCGCCGCCATTGGCCTGTTCTGCAGTGACTCTTGCGGAGTCCTCTTTGGCGGCACCATCGAGTCTTTCGCTGGGAAACTGGGGCTGCCTGCTGCCCATTTGACTGTTGAGCAGCTTGAGACGCCAGCTGCCAAGAAGTTTGCAACCATGGGCAGGCTGCTGGGTGTACAGCTTGGGGTGCTGCTTGGCAGCACCACCCTCTTGTTCCAAACCTCGAATCCCAAAGTTCAAGAGCCAGTGCCAGCGGAACGACTCACGAAGAAGCCCGACATAGGAGAGCTGACCAAGGCTTCGGACGTGGTGATTTTCGCAGTTCCCGGATGCCCAGTATGCCAAGCAGCTCACGATGCCTTGCTGTCCTCGGGCTTGTGTTTCTCAGCCGCGCCCTGGGAACATCACAAGGCTGAGCTGCAGAAGGCGACAGGCTCCACATCGTCACCATCCGTGTGGGTGCGTGGGGAGTACGTCGGAAATGCGCTCCAGCAACAAGTTATTGAGTCAATGATCAGTTGATTGATCCAAAGGCTTGATGACGAGAAGAGCTTGCAACTGCATGTGTCTCACTGCCAACGTGTTGCGGTGGCATGTAAGCAGTGATGTACGTTGTTGCATAGTCATTTGATTGGTTTGGCAGAATATGTCAATACTCCATGTTGATAGATTCCGTGTGTAGATAGCGGCAGCTGCCTCTCACCGATTGGGACTGAACAGCCAGCACGCAGCAAATGCAAAGAGGCAGCGGACCCACGTGGAGCACGAGCCATTCTCGGCTGGAGACCTTGAACGATTGGTTGTCAAATCATGCCAGCCGATTCACCAAAATAAGATAACCCGACAAAATGCTGGGCATGCAGCTGGTAAGCCAAACGAGAGCGCGCCAGGCAATCATGCCCAACGCGTCCCCAGAGCAGACACAACGCACATTTCGGGCTGAACGAAGACAAACTAATTACTGGAGTTTAAATGGATCTTGCACTGGCTTGCTTTTGTCCAAGAATGCAGCCCCCAAAAGCCTACTGAGACAAATCCCTGCCCTAGTTTGATCCCTTTCTGTTGTCCATGACGGTGCACGTTTTGCGGAGTAGGCCCATGTGAGCTGAGCACTCTTTGAATCTTTTGTCGCGTCGCGAGACTTGGCTCAGCTGCCAAGGTTGCCCTTACTTACTGCAACAGAACAGGCTTAGGGCATCTCAGGCAACATGTCTACCACGCGGTGGGGCAAGAAGTGGGCAGACTTCGACGATGAGGACGAGGGCGCCGCGCAGGAAGCGGAAGGCGGAGGCTTCCAATCACAAGCGGACAAGGACGGCATCAAGACCAACGTGGTTTACGTCGAGAAGAACGGTGCTACCTACAGGGTCACCAAGAAGATCAAGGAGACAGTCACCACCAAGTGGACCAACCAGTCAATTCAGTCCCGCAAGAACTTGGCAAAGTTCGGCAAGGCACTAACCAACACTGAGGAGGTCGAGAAGACTTTCTGCATGAAGACCTTGGAGGATATCCAGGTTGAATCTGCCAAGAAGATTCACGTAGATCTTTCACAGAAGGACGACGCTGAGGAGAAGTTCTTCGAAGAGAGCCTTGCCATCACCGAAAGCTTGCTGAGAGAGAAGAAGGTGTGGACTGACCTGAACAAGGAGCTGAAGGAGGTGGGGGTCGGTGAGGAGGACAAGAAGGAGACCACCGACACGCCCGCCCTGGCCACCGGTGCGCCTGGCAAGTACGTGCCGCCCAGCCTTCGTGGTGCCCAGGCTGGCGACAGCAAGGGCAAAGGAAAAGGGAAGGGCGGTGACTCGGGACAGCAAGATGCGACTTTGCGAGTTTTCAACTTGTCGGATGACGTCAAGGAAGGTGATCTGCAGGATCTCTTTGGACAGTGCGGACGTCTCCAGCGCGTCTTTTTGGCCAAGGACATGACCACCTTCCAGTCCAAGGGCTTTGCGTTCATCACGTACTACAACAAGGAGGATGCCCAGAGGGCCATCGACCGACTCAACGGCCATGGCTACGACAATCTCATCATGAAGGTGGAGTGGGCTAAGCCCCGAGCCTAAGCCGCGCCTCCGGACCCTCCGGACCTCCGGACCCTCCGGACCCTCCGGACCCTCCGGACCTGAGCCGAACCTGCCATAAGTCGAGTCGGGCGTTTTTGGCTCGCAGTCAGGTCAGGCCCGAAATCTTCAAAGCCTCCAGTGTTCCGGTTTTGGACAGTCACAAGGAAGGGACGGAGAGTGGCACAACCCGCCATGCAAAAGTAGCGCGGTGCTTTGCAGCAAGAGGCCACACATTCAAAGGAAAACTGAAGTTTCTTGAGATCATAGTGGCTGCTTGTTCTGGGTACTGTCACTGTATTCTCGATTAATTCTGTGATTCGACTGCTTGAGCTGTAACGTTGCTGCAGCACGGACTCGCATGACATGTTGTTGTTTTTTTGGAGTCAGCAGTACTGCGCAACAAGCAGCCAATGTACCTTGCCGAGGGTTTGCTGGAACTTGAGTGCGCTCTTAGCTGTGGGGCCCGAACGCATACCAAAGTCATCGGTCAAATAATCAGATTCCGTATGTACAACAATGGCAAGACAGAGACAAGCATCACTGCGACAAGCATCACTGCTTCAAGAGCCTCCGCCCGAGCCCCCATTTCCGCTTGCAAGCCATGCCTGCCAAGGGAGAAGGCAAGTCGAAGAGCAAAGGCAAGAGCAAAACCTGGAGCAAAGGGTCTCCAGATGGAAGCACTGCTGCGAATGCGGCATACAGCGGCCAAGTGAAGGTCCGTCCCGATGCCCCAGATGCTCCGTGCAAGTTCTTTGGCAGCGCCAAGGGGTGCCACAACGAGAGCTGTCCTTTCTTGCATGACAACCCCAACAGCGTGCCCAGCTGCACGTTTCAAGAACGAGGCCAGTGCCACAAAGGGGCCGCTTGCCCATTTCGACACCAGACCTGGTCTAGCCCGCAGGATGCCACTATGTCATATGCAGCCAGGGACAGCGGAGATGTGGAGAAGAGCTCCCTGCGCTTCAAGCAAGTGCGTCGAGAAGTGGCTAGGGACGGCAAGGTAGCAGCGACCCGCGTTGCCGCAGAGCATGTGGAGTTGCAAGAGGGGGAGATCGAGAAGGACTTCCAAGAGGAGACCTATGGCTCCAACGCCATGCGGATGATGGAGAAAATGGGGTACAAGGCCGGCTTGGGCCTGGGAAAGGAGAATCAGGGCCGCACATCGCTGCTGGGCTCTTGCGTGGCCCTGGAGCATGCTCAAGAAACTTCGGCCCTAGGATTCTCTCACTACGCCGGGGCGGTCCGCGCCACTGCTGCCGAGCGAGCAGCAAGGTTGGCCGATGCTCGGGCCAAGTGCCGCAAGCTCGAAGAGGCCAGCTTCGTACAACACAATCTGCTGAGCAGCGACGAAAGCAGCGAAGGAGAGCATGAGTTGGTGCAAACTCGCGGTGTCCAGCTTGGGCGTTGAAAAAAGTGGCGGAGTGCACCAATTTGAAATGTTGCGCCCAACATCTATGCTTTAGAAGCATGGCTGCATGGTTGCATGGCTGCGGCTTGCCATGACTCTCCCGAATATGTGGCTTAAGTGGCTCAAGGAAGTTGGAAGGGACACTGAGTTGGGTATTGCGGCCTTAGGCCAGCTCCCTAAAAGCGTGCGCCTGTCATGGGCCGGGTCCTCAGCGAGCGTTCTTTCAAAGCTGCTGCAATGATTGGCAGGCTTGGCGTGTGGGAAGTCCCATTTGCCTCAGCTGCCCGAGTCCAAGACCGCTACGCCCGGCCCTGCAGGCCACGTGTTTCAGTGACAACGCTGATTTGCTAGGTTTGATCGCATGCGGCATCCTGCGGCCAGGAGATGATGACTGGAGAGCGCTGCTGACGGCACCATCCGGACCCAGCGCTGCATCCCCGCAACGGCGACAAGAACCAGTGCCAGAGCGAGCTCGACAAGAGAAAGAGCAGACACCGAGGGTAGAACAAGCAGAAGCGCGGCAAGAGCAGGACCCTGAAGAACCTTATGGGCTTTTGGATGAATATGTGGATGACCTGCTCGGCATTCCTGCAAAAGACCGACCATCCTGGCAGAGGCCCTCCTGGAAAGAGACCCAGGGCGACCTCAGTGCAAAGGTGCCTCAGATGGTGCGGGAGGATGGATCTCGAGGGCCCGCACTGGCAACTCCGGAAAAGTTGCCTTCCTCGTGGCTTGGAACTCTCTGGGGATCTCTGTACCGGCACTTGCATGAGAAAACCAGAGAAAACCCGGTTGCTGTGCAGCAAGTTGACCGTGTGGAACGGGGCATGTGACCTAGGTCCTACATGGCAGGAGTTCTGAGCGGCTGGGCTGCGATCGACAGCGACAAGGTGACTACAGATGCAAAGGATGCAAAGGAGGGACCGGCCCCCAAGCGACGGGTGGAGAGGCCCCGGGACTGACTGGGCATCGCACGCGAAGCGGCGGTCCCCAGAGGCCCAGAGGCAAGAGACCACCTGGGAGCGCTGGAACTGGAAAACATGCAAGACTCGCAGAGACAGCGCGAGAGAGAGAGAGAGCGAGAGAAAGGGAGCAAACGATAACAATCACAGACCAGGTGAAATGCCATTTACTTGGTGTCTCAATGCTTAGGGGATGAATGGACGGCTTTTTGCAGTTGAGGCCCCTGCAGCCTTTGGCCATGTGCAGGCAAGAGGCCCACGCACTTTGATGTCAAGTTTTCGAGATTCCTTCTTATCCTGCGGCATTTTTTGTCTTCGTCATCTAGGGTCATCATTTAGAGCTATGCAGCCGGAGAATACAGAGCCGCCTCCTGAGCCCGCGCCCCAGCTCCAGACTCATCATGTGTTGCTTTGAGTCGCCTCAGGCTGTCTGCACCAGAACCTGAAGTAGAGCATGAAGGGGAGCCGGCGACCCCGCAGAAGGCCCTTGCGGACAGTGTTATTTGACTCACGCTGTTTGACTGCCAGGCTGAGCCTGTCGTTTTCGCATCACCTGCCGATCCTCGGCATATAGAGGAGCTGTGCAGAAGATTTGCCCGAAGTACCTGGGTCGCACCTGGTGTCACTGCCTTCCGGCGAAACCTGCACATGGGGTCCCACTGGCCGCGCAGGTTTCACCATAGATGCCGCGGAGCACCGTGCAATTTCCTCCGTGCAGCTCACAGATGTACTGCTGCGGCCTCAGACTTAAAGTGACTTGTGCCACGGGTTGGGCATGAGTGTTGCGCAAGGACGTTTGCCCTCACGGGCTGCTGGCAATGGGATGAGGCACAGCTGAAGGCGCACAGCCTGAACCACTACGACGTGATGAAGTGGCTGATCAAGCCCACCACTGAGGCTAGGTGCTGCTCCTTTGTGGAGCTGGTGGCGTCAGAAGCCCAGCCTCCGGACTTCTTCCTGAGCCACTACTTCGGCCAGCCTGTGCGGGACGTCCTGGACTCTGTGCGGCAACAGCTCAGCACACGGCAGCTGGTTGAGGAGACGACCTTTTGGATGTGGGCCTACGCACGTCGCCATGATGAGAGCGTTGTGCCAGACAGGCTGCACTCCACAGCCTTTCAGGCCGATTCAAGGGACTCGGCCGATTCGACACTTTGACTATTCACGAATTTGTCGCTGTCGCTCGAGGCCATGGGCCTTTCCAGCGGGATTCTCCTGCCCCTTGGGACCACCTCAGTTCCTTTGAGCAGGACCTGGCGTCTCGGCAAGAAAAAGATAGGCCCTTGAAGACCCTCAAGCCCAAACCGTGAGGTGTTTGCTGGAGGTGGCGCTGGCAGTCCTGGAGCTGCAGAAGCCGTTGGATATCGCAACCTGGCGCCAAGCTGTCACATCGGTGCTCAACATGCCCCCCGAGAGCCCCGGATGCTCCGGATGGCATGTTCCGTGGTTCTGTGTCAGAGTTGGTCTGTAGCGGGCTCCCGGCTGAGGTGGCGTCAGCCTTGCAAGGTCCGGTGCTTCTGACGCAGGACCTGACAGAACCCGAGCGGAGAATGGAGGGCAAGCTCGCAGGCGCTGGATTCCGGGAAAAGAACCATCGGGAGCAGGCGTTCCCAGCGGATTCTTAGGAAGCATCGCTATTTGTTAACTCTGATTTTCAACACTCACTCGACCCGACCCAGAGAATGGTTTAGTGCGCTGCTCTTGCCATGGCCCCGTCATCCAAGGACATCCTGATAGCGGCACTTGATATCGGGCTCGAAAGGTCAGATGCTGCCAGCAAGATGGACCGCAACCGTCTACTTCACAAGTTCGTGGAGGAGGGCGGCGAAGCCTTTGCCATGCCGCACCGGCAATTTGCAGCTCAAGCTGAAAGAGGTAGAGACGGTAGAGACGGGGGAGAGGTAGTTGTTTTGCTTTTCGGCTGAACGGAAACGCTATTGAGTCGAGCCCACTCAAGGCAGAATGTGTGCCAGCCTCAGGACAAAATCAACGTGAAGCTGCGCGGTTTGTTCGCCTCCATGATGTGGCTACAAGTGGTGGAGAGCGACAGGCTACCCCGCAACTCCGTGGCAGAATGCACCAAGGCAAACGTCTCCAAGGACTCCTTTGTGGTGAACGTATGTAATTCGAGGATGGATGACTCCAGCATGCATTACCTTTCCCGCGCCCTGCACAAGAACCTGGCCAGGGTGGACTTGAACTTCTGGATGTGCCCAAAGATATCAGCCAAGGGGGTGGAAGACCTGGTGAGGCTCATGCCAGCGAAGCTGAAGACCGTGAACCTCAACTTCAAGCGCCCCGCTTGCGAGTTGCTTTGACGTTGCTAAGTGCTTGTTATATCTGGCTAGCCGCAGCTCTGAAATGAGGCTCTGCCCTGGAGTAGGGCAAGGTGGCCTGGATGCTGTATCCAATTCCTTTCCATCAGGGCTGACATCATTGCATCTCAACTTCAGCTTCAACTCGGAGATCCGAAGTCTGGCAAGCCTTTGTCAGAGCATCAGGAGTTTGCAGTCGCTGAAGCTGCTTGGACGACTTGTCAAGACGCCAAACTTGTCCAAAGTGAGGCCTTGGAGAGTGCACACTGAGGTTTCTGGACTTGGACGTCTCCGCAATTGAGAAGATCAGCGACAAGAGCTTGCTAATGCTCGCTCAGACGCTGGAACTGAGCAGGATCAAGAACCTCTTCTTATCCTTCCGTTCCTGCACATCTGTGACCGACGTGGGCATCGAGGCCATTGCGGGCGCGCTGCCTGACAGCTTGACGCTCCTAAAGCTGGACCTCGCGGACTGCAACATCTCTGACGCCAGCGTGGACGCCTTGGCCGGAAGACTGCAGCTCTTGCCCGAGATCGGCGTGATCCAGGCAGGCGGAAACCTCGGAAGCGTGAGTGCGAAACATGCACTGATGGAAATTCTCCCAGCCGAAGCAACACTTCCCCGCCAAGTAGTGGGTTCTTAGGTGAGCGTAGTAAGGCTTAAAGCGCTGTGTACCGGTGCCAGCTCAATATTGAGCCAACACAACACCATTCTTAAAGCAGCACTCAATCAATGTGAAGCTGATTTCCTGTGAGCACGGAAACGAGAACCATGTTTGAGTTTGTAGCCACACACTGTTTTGACCTCCTTTTTAATGTTGACCCCGTATTAGTCTGTAACCCCCCTCCCCTTTTGAAGGTTGGAAGGTTTTTGGGGGGCAAGATTTTGGAAGGTTTTTTGCCTTGACCCCCTAAATAATCTGGAATTGAGTTTCCATTTGATTTAGTATTGCTGGGGCTTCCTTTTGAGATCTGGAATTGAGTTTCCATTTGATTTAGTATTGCTGGGGCTTCCTTTTGAGATCTGGAATTGAGTTTCCATTTGATTTGGTATTGCTGGGGCTTCCTTTTGAGATCTGGAATCGAGTTTCCATTTGATTTAGTATTGCTGGAGCTTCCTTTGGGGGGTGGGGCCGATGGACCGCACTAATTAGGGGGGGGATTGTTAATTGGGGGTGTTAGGGGCCAATGTGGGGTGCTCTTTGAAAACTTCTAAACTCGATTTGTTGAGTAAAGAATTTAATAAGAAATCAACCATCTCAGAACACTTTTTGTTTTGTGGTTTGGGCAGGCCCAAAAGTATCCACCAAGCTTCAAGATGAGAGTAGGAGGTGGAGATGAGAGCCCTAAGCAAGGCAGCAGCATGAAGAGAAAGGTACCAGAAGAAAGCAGGAGCCCATTTGAGACAAAGCACCTTTTCAGCACACCATTCAGAGAAAGCATGGCAAGCAGCATGAGTCGATTCAACATCAGCAGCATCAGCTAGCACCAAAAAACAGTTTACATTGTAATGAGCTCAAGAAGCAGTGGAGAAAATGAGATAGCAGCAGCCATCTGGGGGAGGGACCGGTCTAATTGGGGGGTTGTTTTGCATCATTTTAGAAAATGAGATAGCAGCAGCCATCTGGGGGAGGGACCGGTCTAATTGGGGGGTTGTTTTGCATCATTTTTTATTTGGTGGGTATTTTCTGAGATATGAATTGTTTAGTATTGGGGGGGGGGTCCACCCGGACCGGACTAATAGGGGGGGGATTATTAATACACTGTCAACATTAATGTTGACCCCGAATTAATGTCCCGTCCTGTTTGTTTTTTTGGGGGGTTCCCTCCAAATTAAAAGGGACACCCCCCGACAGTGTTTATTCATCCTGGGGTCAATATAACCACGTTTAGCACAAACAAACGTGTTTCCCCCCCCCCCCCCTATATTCTGTTTTTCAGACCATTGATCTCCCGCAACATTTGGCTCAAGGCCCCTTTTGCAGAATCACGACCATCCGAGCGTGAAGACAAAAGAGCCATTGCAGGCCGCTTACAGGATTATCCACAAGACAATCCACCAGGGACAATCCATCCTCCAATCATCCATTACTGGCATATTGGACTCTCTCCGGAATAGATCCAGGAACCAACAACGACCTCAACTACCACAGGGTACCAGTTCCCTCCGGGGATAGGCACCTGGGGCAGTGGGCCTCAATTCGTGGTAGCGGAGCTGGTTTTCCGCAGAGATCCAAGGGAAGATGTCATCCGATGGAGAAGGCTTCATGGAAGCCTATTCAAGTATGGCCAAAAATCCAGGCTATATGGAGGAAACACTAAATGTATCGATGACCGCCAAGCAGCCGCCATCGTACGACGGAGAAGTCAGCTGGTTCAGCTCAGGTATGAAGAACTCGTGGACGACTGGGTGACCATCACAACGGTGGAAGCACCAAAGAGAGGACCTCTCCTAAAGAGCAGACTCACAGGAGATGCATTTATGTACAAGGCAGTCCTCCAAAATGACCTTTTGCAAGATCCTGATGAAGGGGTCAACTATTTCAAGAACACGCTGAAGAAGTACTTTTTGAAAGGTGCGACCAACGTGTATCTGTACAGACTCCTCAGTTTCTTCAACCATAGAAGGCAGAACCAAGAGTTCTTCATTTTTACCTCAAAATTCGAAATCCTTCTCATGAGATTGAAGGCAGCATGGATGGACTTGATGCCCGTTTTCACGGCACAGTCCCCATCATTTCGACAATCCGTACAGGACGCAAATGCAAGAACAATTGCTCGACATCAGCAAGCAGCCGGTGTTCGAGCACCGCCTCCAGCCCTGATCAATGAGGACGATCCTGCAGTCCTCAGACAGTATATCCAAGGAATGCAGGACAGACAGCGGGACGCATTTCCCTTCGGGGATAATCTCACTGCACAGCTTTTCATTGTTCAAAGTGAGTTGTCAGATCAACAAAGAGAAAGACTCACAAGTGCAATGTCATTGAGAAACATCTCACTCGAGAACTATTCCTATGAGATGCTGAAGACGCACTACCATGAACTCTTCATCACGACGAGGACATCGATCCAAGATCCATCCATCCGACCTCAAGGAGGCAACCGAAGCAACACATTCTTCATCATCAAACAAGGTGAATACGAAGGAGAAGAAGGCTTCTGGGTTGAGGATGAAGAAGGACTTGAAGGATTCATGTCAAACAACGATGAAGAGACGTTCTGGGTCCTCGAGAAGAACGATGCGTTCATAGCAAGAAAAGTGTCGGGGCGGAACTTCAAGTTCAAGAAGAGAAAAGGAAAAGGAAAATCGGGAAACAAAAAGGGCAGTCCCCAACGAGGTGGCTTCAAACCCTTCAGAAAAGCGGTTCTGGCGGAAAGGCAAATATGGCCAACGAAAACTATGATCCCTACGACCAGGCATATTGGGGAAAAGGCAAAGGAAAGAAGGGAAAGAAAGGAAAATCAAAATTCCAATATCCCTATGATGGAAACAAAGGTTATCCATCTATGAGAGTGGCAAAGGAAAGAGCGGACAGGAGAAAGGAAAATCCAAGACGTTCGCAGCCACCGCAGAGAAGACGGAGGAGCAGCCCGCCATCCAGCAGACTGCACCACCCATAGAGCCTACCTATGCCGGTTGGACAGGCCAAGACTGGGATCAATCATTGACATGGAACGAACATGGCTGGTACTCATCCCATGAGACATCCAGCACAGGACAAGCGTTAATGGCATTCCATGATGCATATGAGCATCCTGGGAAAAAGGCCATCCACGAGAAGCTGATCCAATCAGATACAGTTTCAGAACACAATCTGTCCGTCACAACAAATCACAGCCTTCTGGCAACAAAGCTGATGGCGCCTGTCATCAACCCTCAGCACAACCCGACCTATGCGATTCTGGACAATGGATGTACCAGATCTATGGGCAGCTGGCATGCAATCCAGCGTTTTACCCAGGCAATCGAACCAATGAAGGACATCATCTCCTATGAGTACATCCCGGCCGAGACCAAGTTCACTTTTGCAAACGGAGAGACCGCCAGGGTAAATTGGACCCTGCATCTTCGATATCACACAACTCCTCCATGCAGTACCAACATCGACGTCCTTGAACAAGGAACTGTACCGATCCTTCTCAGCATCAGCCAGATGCGGAACCTCTACATGACCATCGAGCACACACCTCAATGTGACAAGATCACATGCAAGGCCTTTGGCATGAACCGTCAAGCAGTTCCAGTATCCGGTACAGGACATGCACTCGTCGATCTCGCTGGAGTTGCAAGAGTGAAGGCGCATGGAGAAACTGCTCACAAGGGCCTCATCACCTATGTCTATGACGATGATAACAGCGTCAAGTTTCCCTCCGGGGATCTCACAAGAGCGAAACTGTTTGTGCAGCAAAATCATCCGAGACAAAGGAGGACCTAGCAACTCCTAAGATCCTTGGATCTCAAAAGCAGGACCATTGGATCCTTGACCAGAAGAACAAGCAGCTCATCCGTGCGCACATCACGCCCCGAAAGGCGCTGTTCACACTAAATGGAGCCAAGGAATGTCCAATCCATCCTGATCACATTAGCCGAGAACGTACCACGGAAATCATTGATGCATCCGCAGGCGGAGATCCAGACATTTTAGAAGACAATTGGAGACTTACATCCCAGGCAAATAAACCAATGATTAACCTGTGGATAGGTAAGACCATTTTCACCTTCTCGGACATTTCGTTTAAGGACGAAGAAGCAGGTTCAGGATCGGCAGCAGACAGGAGCATCGACAAGAGGGGCCAGTCGACTATTGAGCCAGATCCTTTCGCACCATCCTCAGAAGAACCAACATCGCTTCCGCTTGCCCTAGGCAGAATCCACAAGCGATTGTCAAATCCCGAAGAGTTGAAGAAACTCCACCTGCAGCATCATCACATGACCACAGATCAATTTCGATTTAGAACCCGAGCACTTCATTTGCCGAAATCAACATTCGATCTATTTGACAAGATCCGAAGTGAGTGTGAAGTTTGCCAAGCAGCAAAACATGCACCATCACGAAGCAAGACAAGCGGACTTCGAGCGGACACCTTTGGTGACATGACATTCATTGATCACTGTCAAGTTCCTCTTGGAACAGGAGAACACATCATTGTTTTTGTCATCCTGGATGGAGCAACAACATTGCTCACTGCAGAGGCAGTGACAACTACGCAAGAAGTCGAGAACATCACTGTCCTCAGGAACTATTTTGACCAGTACCACTTGCAGCCCAAATCAGTTGTCGCAGATCAAGCCTTCATGACAGATACATGGGAACATTTCTATCAGTCCCTTGACATCACACCGATATCCTTGGGACCGAATACACCATGGCCAAATCGAGCTGAAGCAGCAGTTCGACTCCTGAAGGCACAACTCAAGATCATGCTAAGTTCCATCAAAGCAGGCACTGCACCTGCAACATTGAAGAAAGTGACCTACAGGCAGCTAGTGAAGGCCGCTGCAACTGTCAGGAATCAGACCGTCACCTACGGAGGAGTAACACCA